CTGCCTCTCTCCTGCTCCCAAGTATTTGCTCGGGGCAGCCAGCCAGCTGAGCTACCGCGCCGGCCCCGCAGCACTTCCGCAGCACCCCTGGGAGCCGCTGGCCGCAGAGTCCCTCGCGGCGGCTGCAGGCGAGCCCTGGCCTGGCGGCTCCTCTCTCTCCTGGTGCAGGGAGGGGAGCCCGCGGCTAGATAGTCGGACCTAATGTGTCCTTTCTTATGTGTATAAGGTGTCATATTTTACTGGAACATCACTCTAGGCATAGGATACTAAGCCTCCCATTTTCCATATCGTGTTCCTACAATTAGGTTCCTTAACCCATATGTGGGTACCAAAACAGCAGTAGCTTGGCTTTCAAAGGTGCCCAGCATTCATAGCTCCTGTTTTCTCTAACTTTAAGCCTCCACATTGGAAAATTGTAGGCTAAATGCCGGACCCCTGTAAGATTCACACAACGCTCTAATCTTTGGGTGCGTCTAGAGAGCACCCTTCTGTTGGAATAAGCTATGCAATTTGAGCTACCAAATTGCATAGCTTATTCCCAGTCTAGGTCGAAAGAGCTTATTTTGAAATTTGGCGCTGTCTGCACAGTGCCAAATTTCAAAATAAGGCACAATTCCGACAAATCCCTTAACCCTGTTACAGGGATGCGAGAATAGTGCGCCCGCAGTCTTTCAGTATCCCAAAATAGTGCCGCAGTCTAGACGTACGCGTAGATTCTGCTCTAGAGAGCCATCATGATACTGAAGGCTAGACGGATAAATATAAGGTTTAGGGGCTTTACATTTATGACAAAAACTCAGGAATGAGAAACATCAAATATTGTAGTTAAGGAGACTGTAGATGAAGTGCAATTATTAACAAGCCTACTTGTCTGTTTCCCGTGTTAGCATTTCTTACGGCAACATCTCCCGTGAAGAGGCAGGTTTTGTGGAAAGGGGAAAAGAGAAGTTTTAAAAGAGTGGCCTATTTTCTAATCACGTAGGATTGAGAGATATTCCAAATAGGGTGGAAGTAGCCTCACTGCATAAGACCAGTACGGTATTTTCAGCAGCTCGTCAACTTGTGGTGGCTCCTGAAAAACTGCAGCTAGAGCAGGTACCCAGGAACACTTCTGCAAGTTCTTGTGCGCTGTGCAGGTGGACTCCACTGCAGCCCCAAATCGTTTGATGCAGAGTTTGGGAATGTGGACTTGAGATAATGGTAACTGGTCCAGCTCATCAACTGGCTTTATAACTATGCAGCCTGAGGGAACAGATTCTCTGAAAATCTCAGGCAATTCTCAGAAAATCCAAATGTCTGGGCTCTGTGAACGTTTCATGAATTCCATCTGTAATTACAATAAAGTGGTGCGCACAGAAAGGGAAACAACTTGAATTTCCCCAATTTGTTTTATAATGGCCTCAGAAGGCATGTTTACAGCTGAAGAGAAAGGGAAGTAGGGGGACCCGTGCCACTTTCACCCCTTTCCCAGGGCGCTCCAACGTTTCCGGGAGAGCTGTGGGGAGGGGACACGAGGGGTTGGCGGGGAGAGGGAAAGGAGACGGAGTTGGGTCAGTGGGAGGAGGTGGGTGAGGGGAGCGGACTGGGTCCTGTCGGGGGTGGGGATCCGGTTTGGCTAGGAGGGAAGAGAGGGCGCAAGGTGGATGAGGTGGGGGAGAGAAAGGGGGGCGGACAGGGTCCGGTCACTGAGGGGTCGGGTTTGCCTGGGAGGAGAGAGAAGGTAGAAACTGGATTCGGTGAGTAGGGGTGGCGGGGGTCGGAATGTGTGTGGAGGGGAGACAGGACGGAGGCTGGGTTTGGCCGGAGGGCGCGGTGGGAGTCAAAGAGCCACAAGGTGAGAGGGGCGCTTTCCTCAGTGCCTGTCCTGCAGCAGTGTGCAAGGTGGGGGAGGAGAACGGTGTGTGGACAAACCTTTTTTTGCTTGAGACAGTAAAAAACCTAGAGCTGGCCCTGCTCGCAAGGCACGTGCGGCCCCACCCCCAGACGTGCGGCATACACACGGCCCCGCCCCCAGTGCCCGGCGCCGGTGCAGCCC